TTTAATATTATTTAATATGATTTTATAGGATATAATGTGCTTACTTTTAAATAGGTTTATAATAAATTATAGACGAAATATGTATTTTGCTAAAAAATTTTTATAAAATATTTATCACATTTTTAACACAAATATAAAATGAAAGACATTTCACGATTATCTTTATATAGCTACTATGTATTAATCATATTCATTTGCATATTTTTTGATATTGAAATAGTATAATTTTTTATATTATACATGATTTACCATCAGTATTATTCAATTTTAAAAGTATTTTTGTAATAATACTTAAATAATATCAGTAAATAAAAAAATGAATTTGAAATATTGTAAAAATTCTGAAAATATGTCATTGATTGATTAAGTATTCTATTAAAACAATGTATCAACAAAATAAAATATAAATTAAAAATGTCAAAATATCTTTATCGTATTTAGCTTTTGGACATGTTTTTAAGTGTTTATTTATAGTGTTGTTTATGAATACTCGTGGAATTCATGAATCTAAGAGGTTTGCTTTTATTTATATATATTTAATTTCCATCTGAAATGGACGGTTTTGCTTTTCAAAATGGCGTTTACGGTTATAAATCACTTCAATTGAAGGTGGCCTGTTCTTTCTATCACATAAATCTTCTCTTTCTCCGCAAACGTTTTTATTCATTTTTTATTTAACTAAACCACTCGGAAATTCTCTTCGTTCGTTCGTTTTTTTTTTGTGTTTTTGTTATTTTTTTCCTTCTACTTGGACTAAATTATAATGAATCATAATTTAAAATTTAGAATCACGCGCATTTTAACAATATTGCCTAATATACATATATTTTTTATGATTAAATTTACAAACAATTTTATAACTTTATCAAGTACCAGTATAAACAAGATAAGTACACGAAACTGGTGTGTGTTTTTAGATAGAAAACGACGAGTGGAATACCCGCGTTAGTATTTACCAAGTTGTAAAACACGACACTAGAACACGTTTTTTTTTTCTTCCCATTATTTGTCATCATATCTGCCCTCTTATTTAACAGATAACAACAAACGATTACATGTCGTCGGCGTGTTGACTCTTTTGTTGAAAACGACCGACTGATTAGAGTATTTATTGAGTAGTATTTTTAGTTCTTTTTTTTTTTTGTAAAGAACGCGGTCAAAAAACGACCAATATTTGTGTTTGTTACACATACGTACGAAAGAGTTACAAATGTGCGGCTAAATAGCTTTGTTTTTTTTTCTTCCATTTTTAGTTTACTAAACCTTTGATCTTCAAAAAAAAAAAACCTTTTTTTAAAAATATTTAAGAACTAAATGAACAAATATACTTTATACTTGGAGCTAGTGTGCTTTTAAAAAATATTTAATTTAAATTTGTTTATTTGTTATGTTATTACTTAATATTGCAACTCCAACATTTAAGTTAATAATTAAAATAACGAGGAACTTATAAATTATCATTTTCACGTACAATTTTTATTTTTGTTTATATTATTATGTGTTATTTGAGATATAAGTTAAGTATAATATGTTCATTGCAGTATATATTATACATGTGTAATAAAGGTTTTATTATTTTTCAACTGTCTACAGAATCAATAAATAATGCTGTATTATTAAATTGCTTTTGTTGTTTTTTTTTTTTTTTTGTAAAAACATTTTAACAACTACTAAACTATTAATATATTTATTATTATTAAAATCTTAGTAATTAATCTTTTTCTTCTAATTTATAATTACTACTACATCATTAAAAATAGGTACTACAGAAGAACAACTTCAAAGTTATAATACTTAAATATTAGTATTTTACAAAGCTTATATTAAACCCAATCAACGAACTCACACTCTTCAGATGATAGCTGACTTATAGTTTTACATGTATTATTAAATTAATTGGATCATTATATAGGTTCATGTCTAGAGTACCTACTTTGGAATATAATCTTGAACCTTGGATGAAACGCGATCAAATAATTGAAACAACTAAATAGTTTGCTAATGCGACTTATACCTATTTTAAAAATCCCTTCTGCTAATTCCTTTATAAAGAAAGCGAAGACCTGTTTATTAATTATTTGTATTTAGGTATTTACGAAATTATAAATCGTATTAGATATAAATAGATATATATATAATTATAAAACATTATAACATTATCTGGTAAACACATAGTAAAATAAACACCTCGTGCGAAAGTCAATATAATATATGTATTAGGAATAATTATAATAAATTTCCAAAACGTAAAATACTGGTCTCGAAAAACTGCCGATCGTGTAGATGTACAGAACGTATGAGAAAGCTTACATCGATGCGGTTCGGGGAAATAAAATTTAATTACCCAAACTCAACGGCGGCGGCACTCGTTAAAGTGTTAAAAAGCTATATTTATGCGTCCCGCTCGATGGGCTTATACATAAATACGGGTCATATAAAAACAATAATCTCTGTTGAAGTCCAACCCGGTGACCGTATATCAACCGGGAACACAAAATGGCGGACGAAAAATCCAGATTGTCAACCCCCCGGTTGTCCACCGCCGACGTCAGAGGGATAACGCGCGCGAGCTTTACCTATACAATATATATATTTTTTTTGAGTGTAGGTATATGTGTACAACAATGGCAGGTATTTTAATTCCTAATTTTTCATATTTATCGATAAATTTTGAATAACTATATTAAACGTCTGGCTTGGTTGGTCGCTTTTATTAATGGTGAGAAGAGGATGAGAGGAAGGGTCTGTCAGGGCTGTAAAAACTACAAATACACGCACAAAGTCACAGATATTTTCATCATCCTCTCTCGTCAAGCTGGGATTTTCAATGTAAATACGTGTATATTATAACATTTATAATTGAACGGCCATATACGGCGTATAATACGTATTATACATAATACCTCGCTGGTGTCCATTTCCATGGTTTGCAAATAATAACTATCGACGGTATTTTGCCAACTAATTACATCCGGTAATCTAGGATAAACCTATAGTGGCAAACGCAAATTCAAACCTAAGTCCCGTGTAAAATGCCAATAATATCATCGTTATCACAATGACCGCGAGTACATTTAAAGATTAATTTCAGTCAGTATGTGTGTTTTATATAATATCAGTAAATCCTGATCACAGTTCAATAAACCATATCGCATATATTAACGATCAATTATTATAATTACCTAAAATGTACAAATCACAATATGTATGTGATATATTTTAATATCATTCATTTTCTGAAGTGATTAAATGCATAAGAAGAAAAACAAAATATTAAATACAGTGAGCATTTTATAATGAAACTGTAAATTTGTAACAAATGAAACTCATAGTACAGTAATTAATTGTTTGTATAATATAATATAAAATATATATACATAAGTTATCTATAAGAACTATTGAGTCAAACGAAGTTAATTCAAATTTCAAACTCAAACTTTAACAATGTAATTTTGTATATCTTGATATTCATTAACTAATTTTATACTATTCGTCATTTAAACTTTTTATTAGTAAGTATAAATATCAAGAAACGGTATTATAAATGGCTATAAAATGATTGAGACACTTCAAATTAACAAAAAACTTACCAATAACCCCCCCCCCCCCCCCCAAAAAAAACCCTCAAAAAAACACTACAAATTAACAAAAAACTTACCAATACCCCCCCCCCCCCCCCCAAAAAAAAACCCTAAAAATAATACGAATGAGAACAAATTTACGTGCAACGTTGCCATATTATTTATTATAAAATTATGAAATATATATTTATAGTGTAAGCTAGATATTTTAATAAATTATTAGAAATTTTATTTCCTACATACCACATATAGTTACTATGAATATTAAGTATTCTATCCTTTTGTTTTTTTTGGCATATTTTTTTTTTACTCCGTATCGTAGCTATTTTCAATATTGTTTCTGCTTGAGTTTCAATTAGAACTTTAATAATTATAAATATATTGCTGGACAAGTGCTATAAAATTGACTATTATATCATTCTCTCGTATCTGGTAACTAAGTTACTATTAATATCCGGCTAATTCGATAAAAGTCTAATAAATATCAACAGATTATTGTACTCATATTATCAATTAATTATATTTGGCAACGTTGGAAAATATAAAAAAAACTCGAGCTTTCTCAATCGTGATACCAAAAATAAAGTTCTCAATCGTACTTTATCATTGTAAACATTAAAATTAAATTAAAACATTATTTTTCAACTGAAATATACAAGAAATATTGATACATACGATTTTTATAACTATTATTATAAAGCATTTTCGATGTCAGTATTATATGAATTAAAAAATAGTTTTTGTATTTGTTTTATTATTGAATTTTCAAATAAATTAATAATAAACCAGTAAATCGTATACATAATATACTATTACTATTCGAAATAAAAGAAATAAAATACTAAAAGGATTCGTGATTTAGGGTAAAACACAAAACCGCCCTATATTGGCCCTTGTATATAAAACCAACGTTTCTTTGCGTTCTGGACATGAATACTAAAACAGGGTTCAGAACACAGACTGAAAAACTGACAACGTTCGGACACGCCAGATTTAAACGCATAGTGTACATCAGTATTAATATAAACCAAAAAGGATTATCCCTGTAGCGATCCCCTCGCTTTCTGCCAGTAAATGGGTGACTTTGTCCGCGGGTTTTATTTATTTATTTATTTTTTTTTTTTTTTGTCAATCGGTTACTCATTTTATTCTCCACATACCCTCGTTCCCCACCATCAGAAAAGGGACAATCCCCGGGATTGTTAGGGATTCGAAAACGTTGACGCACTGAGCCCTGTGCAAATCCAATAACCAGTCGGACGATGATAAAAATAATCATTTATACGTTGATGTTAAAGAGAAAGTGAAAAAACCCTCAATGACCTTATAATTTCTAATTTCTTTCTAATCATAGCGGAAAAAAAAATTCTGTGGCAAGACGTACATAATAATATAATGAGCACAATATAAGGTACTCACTCTAACTCTGGCCTCGGTGAGGTTCGTCCACATAGCTATCTCTTCTCTGGTGCTCATGTCCGGATACCGGTTCCTAGTGAAAGTGGCCTCTAGTTCCTGAAGCTGTTGCGAAGTAAAATGTGTCCTCTGTCTCCTCTGTCTTTTCGTGTTTTTATTATTTTTAATATTTGTGTCTTTGCCGTCGTCGGTAACTACGCCAACTCCCGTGTCTATACCTTCGGATTTTATACCGGTAACACCGATCGTGTCCACCCGCCCTGTAAGAAAATTTGCATTTTAATAGATTTTATATCATTTTTAAATCTCAGTCAAAAATTTGTATCCGAAACAAATATATTTTATACAGTGTACAAAATTATGTTTGAAAACCATTTTAGTTTATTGGTTTATTTGTTAACTGTAATTAATTATAATACCGTGTACAATAACTCACCTTTTCTGTCACGGTTTCTACTCCTGGATGAACCAAAGTTAAGCTGTGACGTATGATCCGTAGAAAGGACATGATGATTGTTATCACGGAAGTCTCCTGTCTCTGCCCACACTGGAATCATATTTTACATTATAGTTTATACTCCAATAACAGTTATTTAATGTGTGACACAAATTAAATAGACGTAGTTTTCAAACGTAGTTAGCTATATCAATTACCCAATCAGTAGTTTATATATGTTCCCTGCCGTATATAATAACGGTTGAAGTATTTGTTTGCGTTTCTTTGCACTCAATTTATTGATAATACACGAAACACTATCAACACGCATACGATAATAGTTCTCATATATTTATTTGTTGGCCCACTTCAACACATTCTAATCTAATAGATATCAAACATCATTCTTAAAAAAAAAGATGTCAAAGGATGACATGTTTATCAATAGTGATATTTTACAAGCAGTATAGGTATGCGTTTTAACAATAACATTAAATTAAACACGGCAGCTCACTTTATATACAGTCTAATAATGTTAAACTGTGATATTTCGTAATAATTTAAACGTTAGAAATATAAAAATAAAAATACATACCTACTGCATTTAGATAGTCAATTTTTATTTTATCAAATATCAAACGCCTTAAATTGTATTTACATTTTTTAAACAGCAGTTTTTCTCGTTTTTGAACGTGTCATAGCTTATAATATTTTAACGAAAAACATAATTATTGTAACAGGAACATTAGTACTTATAGGCTAACTAAATCTAATAACACAACTCTTATAGAAATCAAATCAACATAGTCACTAAGCATCTACACCGTACTACGCGGTTTATCATCTCATAAAAAATCAATATAAATTAAAACTGCTTACTGTCGTTTTACAGATATTATGATCAATTTCGTGTATTACGACATTATTATGATGACAAAATATTTTTTGTTATCAGGTATACCTGTTTGAGTTTGAACTTGCAGAGTAAAGCATAGCTAGTATACATAATTATATACTCGTTTTTAACAATATTTTTATGGGATGCAATAATCAAATGAATGCATTTTCGGTAGACAATAGTTGGTACATTAATTATGTGCATATAATATATTACTATGTGTAGAGAACAACACATTGAGCACGCGCACACACACTCGTTTCTCGCGCGTACACCGATGTATAGACTTTATTACTCTTGAGTTATGCGCTTGTCTCCGGGTGAACCGACTTAAAGTCACGTACTAAAATCTACTAGGTTCGCCAAATAACGACCACGGCTATTTTCGTATCCGTGTAAATTACATCTTCCAATCGTTTCCACTCTTTCGACTCTCTCACGCACGCATACACATACATATATATATATATATTATTATATATTTATATGTGATATTTTCAACGCACGCCACTGAAGTGCACGATATGATTTGTGACAAACTGCGATCGGACATGGGTTGATGGAGGGGAAGGAACTCACACATACATACGCTGCGTTTCTTCAGTTGTTGTCGGAGTGATTTATCGGCTTACAAGTTGTAAACAGCTGTTTTAACACGTATAATCGACCGACTATTAGCGGTGCTCGTCTCGTTTTTCTCGCGCCCTACCCCCGCAACGATAAAATATATCGACGACAAGTAAGTACTATTACCACTAAATATACTTGTATATATGTCTGTGTGAGTGTATAGCTACTATCGAAGACGCGCACGCGTATATTACATACATATATATATATATATTTCTTAGGGACACAAATCCCGACGACGGGTGGCTGATGGGTCACGAGATCGGCTTACAGGAAGTTACGGAATACACCGGTTTGTGGGTCGAGGGTGCAGAGCGCGGGTGAGGGGAAAAAACGTGACCAAATCACTCCATCCGAAACGTATACGACTTAAATACGTTTGTGTATATATATATATAAACATATATAGACAACGATCTGTGTTCACCAGACACGTGGTTGATATTCGGTGGCAATTTGTTTTTCTTTTTTTTTCCGCGTGCTTATCTCATAAATCATGTTGAAGACATCAATGTGCGAGGTCTTATCGGTGAGAACTATATATTATACACCTAATATACCTACCTATATCTACCCCCTCTTAAGACAATCCAAACGTTTAAACACGCGGAAACAGAATGTTTCGAAAAGGTTGTTTGTAATACACGGTCATATAATATCTTAAACGGTCTGTCTGGGCATGAGATTTTCGATTAGTTTTAAAAAGTATATCAGCCGACAAAAATGTTCGATTATATATCATCACTGCGGTCAATAAGTACTTAATACACTGCACATGCTAAAGTATAGTCTGTCTTAATATTATTGAATGCGTGTAAGAACGAAACATTCTCACCAAAACTAAAACATGTGTTTCGTGAATAGTATATTATCAAAATGTGCATCATACATCCGATACATGTAACACATGTAACAGTGGCTATAACTTACAATTTATGTGACAATACTTTTTGTTTTTAATGTTTAACAGTTTAACTATAAAAGTTATTACTAATTATTGTGTATAACATATATTAATATAAATGTTCTTTATTTACAAATAAATTATTATGTTTATTAGGCTTATGTTTTTCCTGATCTAGATAAACCATTATCAATAATAAATCATTACCTATAGATAATGCTTATTATATAAAATGTCAAAATTGTATGTATATTGTATTACAAACAAATGAAGTTATTTAATTCAATTAAATAGTAAAATTAATTTATTATAATACATTATATATTTATACATAACTAAATATTAATTGAATAATAGAATCAAAAATTATTGTCAAACAAACTATGTACGCGATATCCACAACCGCATACATTAATATATTTTTGCTAATTTGTTTATTTCCAATTTGTTTTTTTTAAATCGATTGTATACTTGTAGCTATGTATGAATTATATTCGTCTATGCTAAATAATAATTAGTATTAGTACACGTTTCATATACATTAATAATAATAGTATTCTAACATTATAGTTTAGTCATTTAGAAGGATATTATTTAGTACTTCATAAATTTAAATGTAATGAAAAATAACTGACATTAATATAAATAGTTTTGAGTGTTTGTTAGCATGCCCAGATTTCAAAGCAAAGTGCCTCATTTTTCAGAAGCTCTAGGACAATGCATTCAAAATACATAATTAATTTGAATATTTTATGTAACAGAAACTTAAAGGTAAGACTTTTATTTTGAATTTTTTGATGTTATTCTATTTTTAGTATTTTATGTCATTTTTTAAATTTTTAGTTCACATATTAGTACATTGTACAAGCTTTTAGTATAAGTCAGGAAATTCAAAACATTTCACTATAAAAGATTTTTTATAATATTTGCTTTAATAGTTTTTTTAGATATTTTTTATCTTTACCTAACCTAAAGTTTATCATTTAATATATGGATATGATAACATCTTTATCTATTTCTAGCGATTACTGGGCGTAGTGTCTTACTTAAATAAATACTAATTAATTTTAATAATTTATTGGTCAGTTGTAATAATACATCGCGATTACATTTATTTTATGTATAGTAGTTTAATTAAAATAAAAAAAGTATTAAAAATTTCAAAGGTTAAATCATCATTTTTCTATCACTTGTACCTTTAGTTACGTTCCTATAAAATAAAATGTTGTTAATTTTTCAAAGGCATTATAGCATTAAAAAGGCAGTTTTAAGAGAATTTTCGGGTTTTTTTAGAGTATTTTTTAATAGTTTAAACTGTTTAAAGTCCATTTAAATCCGGACCCTAATTTTTATTAAACCGGCATCATGAAGCTTATTTGTTTGAAAAAGTGATAACTAAGATAGGTATTATTAGATTATATGCATGATCTGTGGTATGTACTTATATGTATTTAAGATACATTTTTAGAAACATGTTGCATTATCACAGTTCGTGTAAATGTGACGATAAAAAATTCTTTCACCGTGACAGAATGTAATCAAAAATACTTACAAATATAACTGGACCATACTTACATGGGTATAAATAAATGCTATTTATCGTGAGGGAGAGTTTTCGTGTACGATTGTAGGCGTTTCGCTTTTTTCGAGTGCGTTTGGGCCGCTATACGCATCTTCCAAAAGAGCGAAACTGGATTTATATATAATTTCGAAATCGAACTACCAGCGAGGGACAAACGAATTAGTATCGTAATAATAATAATAATAATAATAATAATACGCTTGTTCTGAAAACCAAGTGGTCCGACTGTTTTAAGCGGAACACAACATTAAATTGTATACAAACTTGATATTATATATATTTATATACGACGGGTGCTTTGCAGCAAATCGACGAGTAACATTATAATTATTATTATAAGTCGCACGCGCGTGAGGTTTCGGACCGTGAAAACCGATGCTTCGGAAAATCGCATCAGACGTGTTTTCACGAGTGACCGGACGTCTGTCGGTCGAATTCGTTTCACGCACAGGCCACCGGATATTGATGGGCAACAAAACAGTCGTATATATAGTATACGATGTATTACCGCAAAAGGGACCCGCCGAAAGGGGACGCCTACTCCAGTAATAATAATAATTACATTGAGTTGGACCGGCGGCGGCGGCGGAAATCTCGTTTAAATGTAAATATATGTATTAGAGGGACGTGGCTCGATAACCGATCGGTTTTCTAGTAGACTGTTGCAGCTATAATACGGGTCGTGCGCTGGCGGAATTGATATACCACCACCAATGGACAATAATAATAAAAGTTGTTGTAGCGGTAGCGAGTATGACGTATTATATAATACCGTATTTTCGTGTTTATATATATAATGCGCGTGAGCATACAAACCAGCTGCCGCGAGGGGGTGCAGCGGTGACGATGCGGTCAATCTACGTATTATATACATATTATATTGTTGAATTAAATTTTGTAACCGAGACGTCAGCGGACGACGATTTCGGACGCACCGATGGAGTTCTCACGCCCCCACTCGGTCACGTCCGGTTGGAGGTCGATCGCGAACGTACATATAATACCGTTATAATCGTAATCGTCGAATGATGTAAATAAGTTATCTTTTATACTTATGTGAAAAAAAAATGATAGTAACACTGCATAAAATAGTCTTA